CAGATGAAAAATTAACAAGGATACAGTGCCTTTAAATGATACACTGGATCAGATGGATTTTATTGACATTTATAGACCATTTCACCCCAAAGCTTCTCAAGTCCACATGGGTCATTCACAAAGATAGACCACATATTAGGACACAAAACAAGTCTCTAGAAGTTCAAGAAGGTTTAAATCACATCGAGCATCATCTCAGGTCACAGTGGAATAAAGTTAAAAATCAACTACAGCAAAAACACCCCAGAAAACATTCAAACACATGGATGACACATAGTATGTTATTAAACATACTATAAAAAATGGTTTATCAACAAGATCAAGGGGGAAAAAAATTTAAAAACTCTCTGGAAACAAAAGAAAAGGAACACACAACAACATAAAATCTATGAAAAATAGCAAAAACAGTCCTGAGAGGGAAGTTCATAGTATTACAGGCTACCTCAAAACAACAACAGCAAAAACAAATAAAGTTAATAACAAACTATTTATCCTGCAACTTAAACAATTAGAAAGAGAACAAGAACAGCCCAGAGTAAGTAAAAAGAAAATAGTAAAGATTAGAGCAGAAATAAATGACATAGAGATTACAAAAACAATACAAAAAATAAATGTAACCAAGAGCAGGGTCTTTGAAAGGATAAACAAAATTGATGAACTGTTAGCCAGACTCATCAAGAAACAGAGAGGACCCAAATAAAATAAAAAATGAATGTGGGGAAGTAACCACTGACACCACAGAAATACAAAGGATTTTAAGAAAATAGTATGAACAACTACTGTGTTTCCCCGAAAATAAGACCTACTTACAGGCTTCCTTCTGAGTGAAATATAAGGCATCCCTTCGAAAATAAGGCCACCCTCCCCAGGCTAACCATGAGAGATTTGGTCCACTGATTCTGAAAGAAATGGAGTCACAAGAAATTCACCAGGAAATTCAGGAATTGGATTGTTATGATGATGTTCCAGAAGATGATGACACAATTGTCATTGAATAAATGAGTAAATTCTTGATACTGTAGGATTCACAGTTTGTCTGGTTTGTGTTGACAACTACCGTACTACCATACCGTATACAGGTAATAAATTTCCTTTATTTTCATTTAACAATAAATGTGTATCGTATTCTTCTTCATGGAAAAATAAGACATCCCCTGAAAATAAGACCTAGCGCATCTTTAGGAGCAAAAATTAATATAAGACACTGTCTTATTTTCGGGGAAACAGGGTATATGTGGATGAAATGGACAAATTCCTGGAAAAATACAATTTCCCAGAAATGAACAAGAAGAATCAGAAAACCTGAATAGGCCAATAATAACTGATGAAATAGAAGCAGTAATAATAATAATTTAAAAAAAAAAAAACTCCCAGCAAACAAAAGCCTGTGTCTGGATGACTTTACCAAACATTCAAAGAAGAACTAACATCTTTACTTCTCAAACTTTTTTAAAACCCAAGAGGAAGGAGCACTTCCAAGCTCTCTTTATGAGGCCAGCATTATCCTAATTCCAAAACCAGATAAACACTGCAAAGAAAAAAAAATTACAGGCCAATATCCCTAATGAACATAGATGCTAAAATTCTCAACAAGGCTGAACAGAAGATGGTGACCAGCAGGAAGAAAGGGAGGAAGGGAGTGTTAGAGAGTGCGGGAGTGATAGAGGAGTGTGTGGACATGTGCGGTGTGTGTGTGTGTGTGTGTGTGTGTGTGTGTGTGTGTGTGTGAGCTAGGGGCAGTTATATTCTGTAGGTCTTCCTAGAGGCTGCCAAACTGGGCAATCTTATAGAGTGGTGTTTTGTGCACAATGCAGACACTTCTGGGCAGCCATCGCAGGCACAGAGACCATGCCATCTTGAGAAACAGAGCTGCTTGAGATTAGGATCCTGGCCTCAGCACCATCTAATCTGGTCTCAGATGCAAACCAGGACCCTGCTGCCACCAGGGACAAAGACCTGTGACCATAACTGCAGACCAACAGACAACAAGAATCCAGACATCCTAGCAGCAGATTTCTGTGAGTCAAGGAGCCTATCCCCCTCCCTGTAGGCTCATGGGCAATGCCATAGTAACTGATAGACCTGCCTCTTGCATGGGTGCAGTGCCGCTATAGGAATTTGAGCCTGTGCACGCATGGACACTGGGAATCTACTCCCCACAACATAATCGGGTGACCAAACCCGAAGCCCACGCAGGGCGGCAGTAACACCTGACTTCGATTCTGGGCAAGTGCACATGGAAGTCTGTTTTCCTCAGCACAAGAGCAGACCTTTGGCCAACACAGCGCTTCTGTGCAACTCAGTTCCTCAAGCTGACCAGGACCCCAATTCTCTGAGCGGGAGGCAGCACTGAGAATCACTGACTTGACTCTGTTTCTTACCATGTGTGCCTGGGATCTCTGACTCCCAGTGCACTCCCACTAAGAGGCAGTATCTCCAATTCTTGGTGCATGTACACACAGGGACCCTGATTCTCAGTGAGAGGCTGCATGAACCAACAGAGATTCTGATACTCTATTCTTGGTGTAGACATAGGGAAACTTTGACTCCTGGCATGTGCTAGGGGACTCTAATTTCGGCACATTTCAGCACGTGCAGTGCAGGAGGGTCCCTGATTCTAGGTGCGCTCACAAGAACACACTGAGTGCTGGTAACAATGACCCTGGGTGAGCATGGTTCCCACCAACCCATGGCAGCTTCATGTCTTAGTGCTGAAGCACTTTAGTGACACTCAGGTGGTGTGAAGCTCCCACTGCGCACGGCCCAGGTCCACACAACTAGAAGTTTGAACCTTTTGGTGATAGTCAGAATGGGGACATGACACAATCCCCAGAGGAAAGAAAATGAGGAGTAACCAAGAAAGGAAATTGGTGAAATTGAAGCATGCAACATGACCAAAAAAAATTCAGAGTAAGAGTTGTGCAATTCATACATCGGATGGATAAGAAAATCAACAATCTATGCAAGAATCAGAAAGAAATTAAAAGTGATATAGCTACAATCAAAAGCACCATGGAAAGTTTCAACAGTAGACTGGAAGAAGCAGAGGACTGAATTAGTGAGTTAGAAGATAAGGAAGAGAAACAAGCTCAATCTGAACAGCAACTGGAGAAAAAAATTAAAAAGCAGAAGGAGAGCCTAAGGGGGCTTTGGGACAACATGAAACGAAGTAACATATGTATAATAGGGCTTCCAGAAGGACAAGAAGAGCAGCAAAGATTAGAAAACCTAATGAAGAAATAATGACAGAAAACTTCCAGGATATGAGGAAGAAAAAAGTTAAAGTACAGAGAGACCCAAACAAGATGAATCCCAAAAGACCCACACCAAGTCCCACCATAATTACAATGGCAAATGTTAATGACAAAGATAGAATCCTAAAGGCTGCAAGAGAGAGACAGAGAGTTACCTACAAAGGATCCCCCATCAGATTACCAAATTATTTCTCAACAGAAACACATCAAGCTAGAAGGGAATTGAAGGAGGTATACAAAGTGTTGCACAGCAAAGGACTGAATCCAAGAATATTCTATCCAGCAAAACTGTCAATCAAAATTGAAGGGGAAATCAGGAGGCTCACAAAAAAAAAAAAAAAAAGGCTAAGGGAGTTAATCACCACCAAACCAGAAATGCAAGAAATGCTAAAGGGAATGCTATAAAGAGAAGAAGTAAAAAGGTAAGAAGGAACACAGGCACAAAAATAGAAATGACTACAAACAAGTACATTTCAGTAATAACTAAACGTAAATGAACAAATGCTCCAATCAAAAGACATCGAGTGGCTGAATGGATAAAAACACCAAAATGACCCATATATATGCTGTCTATAAAGAGACCCATTTTAGAACAAGGGACTCACACAGACTGAAAGTGAAGGGATAAAAAAATATCTTTCAGGCAAATGGAAATGAAAAAAAGCTGAGGTAGCAATATTTCTGACAAAATAGACCTCAAAGTGAAGGACATAACAAGAGATAATGAAGGCCACTTCATAATACTAAAGGGATCGATACAACAACAGGATATATCCCTGATAAACACATATGCACCAGATTCAGGAGCATCCAAATACATAACAAAACTTCTGGAAGATATCAAGGGAGAGGTCGAGAACAATACAATCATAGTAGGGGACTTTAATACACTATTGACATAAATGGTTACATTCTCTAGATAAAAAATCAGCAAAGATACAGCAATCCTAAATGACTCACTAGATCAGACTGACTTAACTGACATCTTCAGAACATTTCACCCCAAAGCCACAGAATATGCATCTTCTCAAGTGCACATGGGATGTTTTAAAAAATAGACCACATATTGGGTCACAAGCAAAGTCTCCCCAAATTCAAGAAGATAGAAATCATACAAACATCTTCTCATACCACAATGGGATAAAATTAGAAATAAACTACAATCCAAACAACTCAAACACTTGGAAGCTGAATAGCATGCTATTAAAAACGATTGTGTTACCAAGGAGATCAAAGAAGAAATTAAAAACATCCTGGAAACTAATGACAATAAAAACACCACATCTAAAATCTATGGGATACAATAAAAGCAGACCTGAGAGGGAAGTTTATAGCTCTACAGGCCTACCTAAAACAAACAAACACAAACGGAAAAAAAAAAAAAAAAAAAAAAAAACCCAAGAAAAAAATGGTATATAAATCATCTAACTCTACAACGCAAGGAATTAGAGAGCAACAAGAAAATCCCATAGTGAGCAGAAGGAAGGAGATAATAAAGATCAGAGCAGTAATAAATTACATAGAGACCACACACACACACACAAAAAGAAATAATACAAAAGATCAATGAAACCAGGAGCTGGTTCTTTGAAAGGATAAACAAGGTTGATGAACCTCTAGAAGCAAAGAGAGAGAACTCAAACAAAATCAGAAATGAGAGAGGCAAAATAACAACAAACCCCACAGAAATAAAAGGATTTAAAAAAAAATACTATGAACTGGGCGGTACACAGGGAATAGTGGGGACAATCCGAGGCACCAGCCGCACGCTCTGTGCCTCGAAGCCATGCCTCGCAAGATTGAGGAGATTAAGGACTTCCTGCGCACAGCCCAGTGGAAGGACGCCAAATCCGTCAAGATCAAGAAGAATAAGGATAATGTGAAGTTCAAAGTCCGACGCAGCAGGTATCTGTACACCTTGGTCATCACGGACAAAGAGAAGGCTGAGAAGCTGAAGCAGTCCCTGCCCCCTGGTTTGGTGGTGAAGGAGCTGAAATGAACCCAACATGCTGACCTGTATTAAAACGTTAAAAACTCTAAAAGAAAAAAAATACTATGAACAACTCTACTCCCACAAACTAGACAACCTGGAGGAATAGGACATATTCCTAGGAAAATACAACCTTCCAAAACTCAATCAGGAAGATTCTAAAAATCTCAAAAGGCCAATAACTATGGTATAAATTGAAGCAGGAATCAAAAAGCTTCCAGCACACAAAAGCCCAGGGCCAGACAGCTTCACAGTGGAGTTATATCAAACACTCAAGGAAGAATTAAAACCTATACTCCTCAAAAAATTCAAGAGGAACACCAAGTTTCTTTTATGAAGCCAGCATCACCCTAATACCAAAACTAAATAAAGACAACACAATGAAAGAGAATGACCCAAACCACTATGCCCAATTAATATTTGACAAAGGAGGCATGAACATAAAATGGAGTCAAGACTGTCTCTTCAACAAATGGTGTTGGGAAAATTGGACAGATACATGCAAAAAAAAAAAAATGAAACTAGACCACCAACTTACACCATACACAAAAATAAGCTCAAATTGGATAAATGACTTAAACATCAGACAAGAAACCATAAAAATACTAGAGGAATCCACAGACAGCGGAATCTCAGACATATGCCAAAGCAATTTCTTCACTAATACTGCTCCTAGGGCAATGGATACTAAAGAGAAAATAAACAAATGGGACTACATCAAAATAAAAAGCTTTTTCACAGCAAAAGAAACCATCAACAAAACAACAAAGAAACCCACTGCATGGGAGAACATATTTGTCAATGTCATCACTGATAAGAGTGTAATCTCCATCATTTAGAGGGAACTCATACAACTTAACAAAAGGAAGATAAACAATTCAATCAAAAAATGGACAACAGACCTAAATAGAATCTTTTTGAAAGAAGACAGGCCAAGAGACACATGAAAACGTGTTTAAAAGTCACTAATTATCCAAGAGATGCAACTCAAAATGTCAATGAGGTATCATCTCACATCTGTCAGAATGGCTATCATCAACAAACCATCAAATGACAAGTGTTAGCGATGATATGAAGAAAAAGGTATTCTTTTGCATTGCTGGTGGGGAAGGCAGACTGCTGCAGCTACTGTGTAGAACAGTATGGAGTTTCCTCAAAAAACTAAAAATGGAACTCCCATTTGACCCAGTAATCCCACTCCTAGGAATATATCCTAAGAATCTAGAAACACCAATCAGAAAGGATATATGCAGCCCTATGTTCATAGCAGCACATTTTACAATAGTTGATTTGGAAACAGCTTAGGTGACTGTCAGCAGATGACTGGATCAGAAAACTATGGTATCTACACAATGGAATACTATGCTGCCATAAAAAAGAAAGAATTCTTATCATTTGCAGCAACCTGGATGGAATTGGAGAATATTATGCTGAGTGAAATAAGCCAGTCATAAAAGAAAAACACCACATGATCTCACTCATTTATGGATAACAAAGAACATTATAAACTGATGAACAAAAAGATAAATACAGAGATAGTAAAACAACAAACAGACTGTCAAATTACAGTGGGGAGGGGAGGGAGATATGGGGAAGATAAGAGTTCAACCAAAGGACTTGTATGCATGCATATAAGCATAACCAATGGACACAAACACCAAGGGGGTGAGGTCATGAGTGGTGGGGTGGTTTGGGGTTTAATTGAGGGATTAGGACACATATGTAATACTTTAATCAATAAAGACATTTTTAAAAATAAAATTCTCAACAAAATACAAGCATATCGGATCAAGCAATATATTAAAAAGATCATACTCTATGACCAAGTGGGATTTATTCCAAGTGCGAAAGGCTGGTACAATATTTTCAAATAAAAAAAATGATATATCATATAAACAAATTTAAAAATAAAAATCATATGATCGTATCAATAGACACAGAAAAAGCTTTTGACAAAATCCAACACCCATTTTTGATAAAAACTCTCAGCAAAGTGGGAATTGAAGGAGCATATCTCAGCATGATCAAGGCTATACATGACAAACCTACAGCCAACATTATACTTAATGAGCAAAAAGCTAAAACCATTTCCCCTAAGAACAGGAACAAGACAGGGATGTCCATTTTCACCACTCCTGTTCAACAATAGTACTGGAAGTCTTAGCCACAGCATTGAAACAAGAAGAAATAAAAATTATCCAAATTGAAAAGGAGGAAGTAAAACTCTCATTATTTGCAGATGACATGATATTGTACATAGAAAACCCTAAAGACTCCACCAAAAATGTACTAGAATTAATAAATCAATTTGGCAATGTAGGAAGATACAAAATGAACATCCAAAAATCAATAGCTTTTTTTATACACCAACTAGAGGCCCAGTGCACGAATTCATGCACATGTGGGGTCCCTCAGCCTGGCTGGTGATCAGAGCCAGTGGGCGGGGTAGGGGTAAGGGACAATGGGAGGTTGGCCAGCCGTGGGAGGTTGGCTGTGGAAGTGCACTGACCACTAGGGGGCAGCTCCTCTATTGAGTGTCTGCCCCTGGTGGTCAGTGCATGTCATAGCTATCTGCTGGTCATCTGGTCATCTGGTTGTTCAGTCCTAAGGATCACTTAGGCTTTTATATATATAGATAATGAATTCTCAGAAATGGAAACTAAACAAAAACTCCATTTACTATTGCCACAAAAAAATTAAAATTCTTAGGAATAAACTTAACCAAGTCAAATTTATAGAAAATATTCCTTTATTAACTTTTGGTCTAGAATATGTTTGTATATTTTCAGAAAACAACTCTGAGACCATGTGGATTCTGGCAACAGAGAGGAATTGACAGGACTACTCCAGCCATGAAGACAGAAGAGAAACAGTCCAGAGATTGAAGACGCTGATGATGCCTTGCCATAATAACAGTCAGCAGCTGTGTATCACTGCAGGTTGCCCAGGACCAAACCAAAAAGGGTTGGACCTGCATTGCCACCATTTGCCCACCATCCAGAAATGAAATATTGCTGACATGTACACATAAGGAACTGTTTGACATTGAAATTGGGTCTCAAAAGAACTGGGGGCCCAGAAAAAAACTCACTACAGACTGATTCATATGCCTTTCAGCATAAGGATTATTGCTTGTCTCATTTTTTATTCTAAGTATATTTCCAGTAGGACATGATCTTACTCATCTAGGGGAAATAGTGAACAACATAGACTGATGAACAAGAACAGACCCAGAGATAAGGAGCCATGGGTCAGACTGTTGGACCTCAAAGGGAGGGTGGGGATAAAAGGGAGAGATCAAAGTACTTATGTGCACACATATGAGCCTAACCAGTGGTTGAGGACAATAGGGGGGTGGAGGTATAAGTGGGGGAGGAGGGGGATTGGAATGGGGGGTTGAGGACAAATATGTGATACCTTAATGAATAAAGAAATTAAAAAAAATAAAATAAAATAAAAATTACATATATGTTTTGCTACATCAAGTCAAACAACCGGAAAATGCAAGCTCATTAAGCATATTTTAATCATCTCGCTACTTCTGTGGCATGGGTGGATATAAATAATTTTAATTGTTCTACAGTTTAAGTAAAGCATTTGAAAAGAAAAAGAATATATATAAAGTAAAATATTTACTTGTACAAAGATCAGCTAGGTCTGAAAGGGCAGAGGTGGGCCTGGCACTGGGAGCAGGAAGGTTCCCTTGTGGCTTGCAGGATTGGGGGATGTGAGGTCCCAGGAAGGGGAAATTTCAAAGGAGTGGGGATTCCCCTGGTGAGCAGGTCTCACAAGTGCCCTTGAAGGCCTAGCAGGCAAAGCTGATGAACTGTTGCTCAAAACTTAGAGAAAGGGGAGAGGTTGTCTTTAGAGCAGTGTGCTACCAATGTTGCCCCCTTCCTGTGTCCCCTGTACTTTGTGCTTCCTAGAGAAGCAGTTTAGTAGACCTTGGAATCAGGCCAACTAGTAATCACTCTTTCGAGTCTCACTTTCCTCATATACTAGTATAAATTGAGGCTACAACACCATCGACCTTGGGTTGTTGTGAGGATTAGGAATAATGCAAAGCTCCTAATATACAGTGGGTGCTCAATAGATGACCACAAGGATGTACCTGCATGGCTACTATTTTTATTTGTGCTACCACCAAGAATAGGCAGGCCCAAGTTATTGCTGAGCTGTACTCTCTTTGAGAGATGCTCATCGCCAGCTGGGACAAAACACTGAATTCTAAGACTGTTCACCACCCTTTCACATATATTTGTCAAAGGTGTCTTGGCAGGCAGATATATAAAAACTTGTTCCTGGTGCCCATTGCACGTAATAATTCTCTTTGTTGCTTGTTTCAGCACACAAAGAAAAGTATTTCACAAACCTTCTGCTGCTGGTGATATATAGTAGATAGATTGAGAAATCATTAGAGGGGCAGGGATTAAATAACGTTGTGAAACAGTGATGAAGAAAAAACTGCATTTGCTCTCTGTCCCCCTAGCCTATCAACAGTCTGCTACTCTCACTCCTTGTTCCTGTGCCCCATTTTAGAACCGTTCAAAAAGGCTTCCAAGTATGAATTTCATTTGCTGCTCACTCTAGTCTGTGAGGTAAGTAGGGCATTTGTTGCCTGCAACAGAGGAGCTAAGGTAATGACAGAATTGGGATTTGGAGCCAGGTCTCCTTGTTACAGAACATGAGTGAACTGTACCAGGTTCAACTGTACCTTGGATGAATGGGTTCAAAGCAACCTGTGGGGAAATGATGTTTTGCAAGGAGATAGTGATAACAACAGCACCTTGCTGTAGAGTGTCCAAAAGAGATAGTGACAACACATCTGTTCTATTGATGAGCAAACTAGAGGCCCAGGGGAAGCAGAGGACAACTTTGGAGTTCAGATGACACAGAAAGGTGGATTTATTTCAAACGTTTCACTTTTTCAAGTTTTAAATGACATAAGTGATGCAGGTGACTTGGATGCTCCAGGGTCACCCAGCTAGGGAGTGGCAGAGCCCCCAGGATTAAGACTCTAACTCAGGGCTCTTAATTGCTTCTGGGGCTTGGAATCAGCTCCTTCAGTCCCTCGGCCTTTCTCACAAGGGTGTTGAGAGGGAACAAGAGTGGAAAGGACAAAGCACTGCATAATAGTATTAAAAGAAATACTGCTCCAAGTTCACCTTTCCTAGTCAAATGGGCCTCCAGGTGAGAGCTATTGAGAACAAATGTGGCTACACTGATATGCTTGCACTGTCTACTTACCATGTTTCCCCGAAAATAAGACATCCTCCGAAAATAAGACCTAGCGCAACTTTGGGAGAAAAAAATTAATATAAGACACTGTCTTATTTTCAGGGAAACAGGGTACTAGCTGTGTGACTGAAGTAAGTTACCCACTTCATTTTCCAGCGCTAGCTTCCTTCTCTGTAAGATGAAGACATCAATTCCTGTCTGACAGATTGTGGAAATGAAATAAGCAGCATATGTGAAAGCATTTTGTAAACTATGGAGCAGTATTATTATCTAGCTGAAAGCGTTGTATCCTCACTTCCCAGAGTCCCCCAAACCCAGCTCACTCTAGGTCCCTGAAAGGCCTGCCTCTGGTGGGAGTAGAGAAGGTGGTTCTATTTTGGTCTCTCCAGCCTGTAGACCAGAGAGGAAAATGGGGCTGCTCACAGCCTGTCTTCTTATCCCCCAGCTGAGGGGGGAAAACAAGGGAGCTGGCGTAACTTCTTTGGTGAGTCAGCTAAGAAAGAATTTCTAGAGCTCCAATTATGTATAAGTTTTGGTTTAGGTTTGGATTTTTAAAGCTGCTTCCACCTTTAAAGCAGCTTTAAGACATAACTAAAAGCACAAGTAATTGGCAAACATGGAAAATGATAGAAGCACAGCTTCTTACTAGTGTGAACTTGAGAAAATTATTCAGCTTCTCTGGGCCTGTTTTCTCATCTGTAAAATGGGGGACACTGCAGGGTCATTGTATTAATAGAATGTGAAAGTGCTGGGTCCAATGCCTGGCACACAATCGAGGCCCAATACCTGTCCATTTTCTTTCCCTTCCTAGTGGACAGACTGTGGTCATTGAGCTCAGAGGAACAGAAAGCGCTTACTCTTCAGTTGCTTGATTCTATTATAGTGGCTGCCATTACTCATTTAATTTTCACAACCCCATGAGATAGCTCATCTACAGACATCAGGAGAGATCAGAGTTTTATTGCCCAAGATCACACACCTTGTGAAATTTTTATTGACTTTGAGAGAAACTGATATATTGTTCCACTTACTTATGCATTCATTGGTTGATTCTTATATGTACCCTGACTGGGAACCAAACCCACAACCTTGACATGTTGGCTGAAGCTCTAACCAAGTGAACTACCTAGCCAGCGCCAGCTTGCAATTTTAAATCCTCACCCGAGGATATTTTTTCATTGATTTTTAGAGAAGGAAAGAGAGAAATATCCATGTGAAAGAAACACATCAATTAGTTGCCTCCTGCGTGTGCCCCTACCAGGGCCTGGGCTGGGGAGGAGCCTGCAACCCAGGTACATGCCCTTGACTGGAATTGAACCTGGGACCCTTTGGTAGCAGGCCAAACTCTATCCACTGAGACAGACTAGCTAGGGCCAGTTTGCAATTTTTAAAGGCAGGATCCACCATGTCTGGTTTGCTTTTTTGATAAAATGTACGAGGGGGTTTAATCATGCTGGATCTTCTGGAAGGCTCATCTTTAGAGTTGGATCAATAGGGTAACCCCAAACTGGCCCATTTTGAGAATAAATTCAAAGTAGAGCTTCAAGGACAGGAAACAGGCCATTGCCAGAGGCAGTCTGGCAGTAATTGAAAGAGCTAAAAACCGAGTGTTTTCTTCCCAAATTCTGGGGAATTTAATGTGTTCTATCAGTTTCAGGAGCTTATGTTGTGAGGGTGAGATGAGTCCTTTATTAAGCAGTATACAAATATATAATCGGTAGTCTTCTGTCATCTCCCACTAAACACAACCTCCTACTCATCACTTGACAGCCCTCCATTTCCCTCCCTAAAAATAAGAGGGAACTGAGTCTCCTCTTCAAACCCCTCTCCTAAGCTAGACTGCAGAAGTGAGAATAGGAAGGTTGAGTCATCCTCCTCTTAGAAAATTTAAGTGTACCAAAGGCACTAGAACAAAGTGTTTTTTATACATATCTTTAACACATGGCTGCTTTTTAAAGCTATCAACCCAAGGGCTGAGGACATGTCTTCTTTCTACTGCATAAAGTAGGTACTTCTCCGTGTCATCTGTACCAGCAGTAGCCAACCTTTTGGACCCCATGTACCACCAGTTGGAAACCGCTAATCTGCCCCACACCCAGTCAACCGCCCCTTATTCATCAGCAAAATGACTGCCTTGGCACAAGTATCACTTCAGACTGTGTCAGGTATTGCACATCACAGGTAAGAAGGGCCAAAATGCTCCATGGCGGCCCATTCAAGAGCTACGTTATAGCCTGAGGTGCTCTTCTCCCTAAGTAAGAGTTATGGCAAATAGTTCCACGAGGGTAAAGACCCCAGCCTCATATGCATACCAAAGATGGCTCTCATAACACTTGATCTATTTATCTCATTTCTCCTGGCCAAGGCAAGGAAGACCAGTTAGGATTGTTAAGATCCATTCATTTACATCTCTAATTCCTGAAAAAAAGTGTGTGGCAGAGCAAGTCCTGGGTTTTGTACTCACCCCTTGTAGAGCGGTATTAAGTTATTTCACAGTGCTAGGTTGGAAGAGTGAAAGCCCCAGCTCTGCAGATCTGAGGTTGGGAAACTCACTGCCCAGTTCAAAGGCAGACAACCAGGATCTCTCCATAAGCCCAGGGACCCACTCCTGACCCCCGTCCCCTCTACAAGCACACACAAAACCAGCTGACACCAGTATTGCTGTATAGTTATAATAGAAAGGACTTTATTTTTAAGGAAAATTCATTCAGCCACTGATTATAGAGTCATTTCTCAGTACTCCTTATCTTCCTATGTAAGAATCTGAAATACAACATGATTACGATAATGCAAAAATAAGAATCACTGGTTCATCACCTAGGGAACAAAACATACTTAATTGCTTGACACTTTATTGAACGCAAAGCAAGATTAGGTGTCTTTGCCTTCCTGGTAGAGCTGAAGCAGGAGCCCAGAGAGGGGAAGACTGCGCAGTTTTCCTTTGTGGGGAAGATGTGTGCCCCCTGTCGTCTCATCTTGTTGTGGAAAGACTAACCCATGTTCTTTCGGTTGCCATAGCCCCTAGGATGGGTGTCCTTCCAGTCATCCCACTCCCGAGCTCGGTGGAGTGTTTGCTCATCCTCCTCTTCCTCCCTTTGTTCTTGATCTTCTTGTTGATCCGCTCTTTTGGCCTCTGCCAAAGTAGAAAAATGAGAAAGTGACAGAATGTCAGGAACCTCAGAGCCATTCTAAACACAATCACATTAAATGAGAACAAGGCATATGGCTGTCCGCCTGCCTGGGGCCAGCAGAAGCAGGGAGAGCACTTAGATACCTAACAGAGGACATGTTCAACAGTAAGAAAGGGTGCTCTGAGTACTTTTCATAAGAAAGCTAAAACATAAAAGTTGTCCCTCAGGAGGAATTCTATTTTGGGAAAGAATTATTACTAAAATGGCTAAATATCCCTGTCAGCCCCCCAAAAAGAAAAAGACCCCCAAAAAAGCAAACTACCAAGTGACCAACAAAATCTCAGCAAGCCAAAACACTAAAGTAAAAAAATATGTATTTTATAATTTGTGATATGCTAAGGAGCAGGAACTATATATAAGTGACTTCCCCTCCTGCATCCATTTCCTGTTACCGTGTTTCCCCGAAAATAAGACATCCACCGAAAATAAGACCTAGCGCATGGAAAGATAAGACATCCCCTGAAAATAAGACCTCGCACAACTTTGGGAGAAAAATTAATATAAGACACTGTCTTTATTTTTGGGGAAACAGGGTAGTCACACAATTTTGCTTGTGTGTAAAATTGGAAATCACAGGGCAGTTGAACCTACCAGAAGAGAATATTTGTGTTATTCTGCACATGACTGGAACAGGGTCTAAGGTCCAAATGGCACTTGTCAAGCAGTGTACACCCAAAAGAAATTGAACCAACTGCTATATCTCTTTGGCACTAATTGTTTTCTCTTCCAAGGTAAAAAACATATCCTGTTGACTCTGAGTTTGCTTATGAGAAACAGTTTCATGACTATGATAAAGAATGAAATGTGTGGGGATCTGATCTACTCTAATAGTTTAGGAGCCTTGTGTTCTTTAAAAACACTTTTATTGTAAAATAAAGAATACTACTGTAAATCATATATATTTAACTTTCATTTTCACAAGGAGGCTATATCTATATAGCCTCCATCTGGATCAAAACATCTTCTGTACTCATCCCAAAGCTTCTCCATGAGCATCTTCCAAATTACAACACTCTCTCCCCTCTGCCCCAAAGGTAACCACTGTACCACCTTTTATAGAAATAACTTTCTGGACTTCATTACAGCTTTATAATCCAAATGTGCATCCCAAGACACCAGTTGTCCATTTGTACATTCACATTTTACTCAATGACTTCTAGTATGGAGTTGGGACTTCATCACCACAATCTAATTAGAAAATTATATTACCCCGAAAAGACCCCTTGTGCCCATTTACAGTTAATTCACATTCCCTCCCTTCTTCCAGCCCCTGGAAATCACTATTCTGCGTTCTTTCTCTATAGATTTGTCTATTACTAGTGGCCTGGTGCACGAAGTTCGTGAACAGAGGGGAAGGGTTCCCTTAGCCCAGCCTGCATCCTTTCCAATCTGGGACCCCTCAGGGGATGTCTGACTGCCGGACAAGGATTGGGCCTAAACTGGCAGTTGGACATCCCTCTTACAACCCGGGACCACTGACTCCTAACTGCTCACCTGCCTGCCTGATCTCACCCCCAACTGCTCTCCCTTGCCAGCCTGATCTCACCCCCAACTGCTTTCCCTTGCCAGCCTGATCTCACACCCAACTGCCTCTGCCTTCCTGATCACCCCTAATTGCCCTCTCTTGCTGGCCTGATATCACCCACAAGTAATACCCCCCCACCTCCCCGCCTGCCTGATCACACCCCCAACTGCCCTCCCCTGCTGGCCTGGCTGCCCCCAATTGCCCTTTCCTGCTGGCCTGATCTCGCCCCAACGGCTCTCCCCTGCCAGGCAATTTGGTTCTGATTGGTCAGTTTCTATGCCAGTCAGCATCAAAAGCTCTACCTACTAGGTAGCCATTGGCCCCTCAAAGTTCACACAGATTTGGTTCTGACTGGTCAGTTTCTATGCCAGTCAGTGTATCCGGGCCTCTCTCCAGGCCTGATCAGAGAGGCGGGGTTGATCAGCAGCCCCCATGGAGGCCTGGAGGAGAGCAATGGTGGGGGGGAAAGGAACATTTGTAATAATATGAACAATAAAAATTTATTAAAAAAAAGAAAGAAAGAAAGAGGTGTAGCTGCTGGTGAAGAGAGGCAAAGGCTAATCAACAGTCCCCTCAGCAGCCAGAGCTGGGTTACCTCGCCCGCACTGGCAGTAGTTAGTGCTTGGTCTCCACGGCAACCCAGCACTGACTGCAGGACTGACTTCCAGTGTTCAGTCGAGCTTTTGGTCGGTCATTATGGACTCTGGGTTTTTATAGTGTAGGATGGGCATTTCAAAGAAACAGAATCAAGTAATATATAGTCTTGTATTTCATTTCTTTTACTTAGCCAACTATTTCTTAGTTTACTCTTGCCCATTTAAAATATTTTGGTATCTTTTTGTTTTTTGTTGTTAATCCTCACCTAAGGATATTTTTCTACTGATTTTTATTTATGATGTATTTATTTATTTATTTATTTATTTTGGTTAATCCTCACCCAAGGATATTTTTCCATTGATTTTTAGAGAGAGTGGAAGGGAGGAGGAGAGACAGAGAGAAACATCAATTTGAGAGATACACATCGATTGGCTGCCTCCTGCACATGCTCCAATCAGGACCAGGGATTGTGCCAGGGATGTGCCCTTGATCAGAATCAAGCCTGGTACCCTTCAGTCCTCGGGTAAATACCCTATCCACTGAGCCAAACCAGCTAGAGCTATTTTGTTATCTTTTTAATCTAGAGCACGTGTGTCAAACACAAGGCCCGCGGGCCAAATCCGTCCCGCCAGGCCTTGCAATGTGGCCCGCACCGCGCTGTCATCACTGCACTCCGCTGCGTTTCCATCACAATGACAGTTTATGACTGTTCAGTAAACCATTCGGCCCGCGATTTAGGCTGGATTTTAGATTTTGGCTCCTTCTCTGATTGAGTTTGACACCCCTAATCTAGAGGTTCCTCTTCCATTCTTTCCTTTCTTTAAATGTTGTCTTGAAGAAGCTGGGGGTATCAGATCTGTAGAGTTTCCTCAAATCTTGGATTTTGTTAATTGAATAGTCATGATGCAGTCCAACATATTCTTTTGAAATTCTGTAGATTAGCAAGTTCATACAGAGGCTTGATCTGATTCAGGTTGATCCCTTCATCATGATTATAGGAGGTGCTGCCTTCCCTCATCAGGTGGCACAGCTGTTGATGCACAATGTCTAGATTCATTAATTTCCCATATGTTTCAAAAAGGTAACACACTTACTTTTAACATTTCCTTTTTATTAACTAGAATACATTTATAAAGAGAGGTTTACCCTCATCTACTACTATTTGATTACCCAGGAGAAAAACAAAATAAATGTTTGATACTTTCACATTATTTACCACTTTTCAAGATAATTGGTTCCTCCAGAACTACTACTCCCAGAATTCCTGGTGCTCCCCGTGCTCTGGGTGTTCCCTTCTTGCTCTGTCTCTGTCCCATGGCATTCTGCTCTGCCAAGTCCTCCACACAACCAGCTCTCCCCCTCTGCTCTCTGCCTGGTGCTTGTGTATACAAATTAACCCACCATCTTTGGTTAATTTGCATACTCACTCCTGATTGGCTGGTGAGAGTAGCAGAGGTATGGTCAATTTACATGTTTTTCTTATATAGGATGCTTGCCACCAGTCCTCATGTTAATGTCTCTCTCATCACTTTGGTTGTCTGAAGCTCATTCTCTAGCAATTTCCTCAGAAAGAAATCATGGGAACAGTAGCTCTTAAGTTACTGCATACTGATAAATCTCTGTACCCTTCACTTAAAAGACAGTTTTAGCAGGTATATGTCCTTGGCTCACATTTCCCTCCTTGAATATTGTAATATCTGTTACTCCACTTTTTTTTGGCATGAAATGTTAGTGTCAAAGTTTCAGGGTGATCTAATTTTCTTCCCTTTATAAACCACCTGTTTTGTTTGTTTGTTTGTTTGTTTGTTTTGGCTGAAATTTCCACAGTAGTTTTTCTTCTTTCCAGCCTAGTACTTTTATTATCATTTGTTGGTCATTTTGGGTCAGAATTCTCAGGTACACAGTACACTTTTTATTTATTTTTATTTATTTATTTATTATTTTTAGAAATACATATTTTATTGATATTTTACAGAGAGAAAGAGAGAGGGATAGAGAGTTAGAAAGATCGATGAGAGAGAATCATCGATTAGCTGCCTCTTGCACACCCCCTACCGGGGATGTGCCCGCAACCAAGGTACATGCCCTTGACCGGAATCGAACCTGGGACCTTTCAGTCCGCTGGTCAATGCTCTATCCACTGAGCCAAACCGGTCTCAGCTCACAGTACACTTTTTATAATAAAATCTTTTTCTTTAAGATTCAGGAAAATCTCCTATTAGTTTTTAGCATTTATTCTTTTTTCTTGCTTTGGTTTTCTTCTTCAGTTAATCCTATCCTATGCCAGGTCTTCCTGACTTCCTTTGATATGTCAAATCTTTTTAAAACATGTTCCTTTTTACTTTAGTAGGGCATTTCCTATCACTTTCCTCTGCTGCAGCCTTCATTTCTGAAACATTTTTTAAAAAAATTATCTTTATTGTTGAAAGTATTACAAATGTCTCCTTTGTTTTTTTCCATTGGGCCCCTCCACCCTGCGCTTGCCCCTCCAGACCTTCACCACTCTATTGTCTGTGTCCATGGGCTATTCATATCCTATATAATAAAAGCCTAATATGCAAACTGTCTCGTTGGGCGGTTGACCACTTGCTATGACATGTGTTGACCACCAGGAGGTGGCACAGAACATAATGGGTGTTGGATGATGCGCTGCAACCTCTCACTGGCTATCTGGGAGCAGGGGTGAAGGGGATGGAGGTGCACTGAGAATGCAGGGTGTCTAAGCTTGCTCTCACTCCCCCTACTACTTTCAATTAGAACACCAGGGCTTGCATACTGGGGAAGTCACCACACTCAGGTGCTGGGTGCCCGTGAGGAACC